ACTGCTCCCCACACCGCCCCCTGGCACACGCTGCTCCCTGACCCACACTGCTCCCCACACCGCCCCCTGGCATACTCTGCTCCCTGACCCACACTGCTCCCCACTCTGCCCCCTGAAGCTGGAGGGATTATATCCCTTATTGAACAGCCATACTGTGCCCCATTGAATGGAAGTGGGATGTTCTCATCATCCCTGTACTGACTGAGCCCCTCCTGACCCTGGCTGTGCTGCCAGCTCCCGGCTGTCTTGTGGCAGGGAATTCCCCAGGTTAACGCGGCAACTTGTTAAAACAAAACATCCCCAGGGCTTTTTCCCTGTTAGTATTTAGGACATGGTTATGGTTGATTAAACACTGAGCCAGCTCCTCCTGTAGACACCCGGAAAGCCCCGCTGGCTGCGGGCCGGGGAGGCATGGGGGTCAGGGGAGCACACTTTCACACCCCGATTTCTTTTCTTTTCTAAAGTAGAGATGCAGCCAGCCCCGAAATTTGGATCCAAATCTGGATCACGCCCCAAAGGGCTCCGTTTATGGCTCTGGCCCAATGGCGGGTGTGGGTCCCTGGCCCCCCTGTGACAGCCCGGGGCTGCGTTCGCTTCCCCGAGGTGACGTGTGGCGCTGGGTCCGGGTCCGGGTCCCTTCCCCCATCGCTTCCCAGTTTCGTTTCCCGGCGGCGGAGGAGCGGGGGGGCCGGGGGAAGGAAACCGAAACTCAGCGGTTTTGATTCTCGGTGCGGGGCGGCCCCGGGTGACGAGCTGGCGGCCGGGCTATAAATGAAGACCCGGCGGTGGAGCCGGGCAGAGCGGGTCGGGCTCGAACTCGGACTCGGACTCGGGACGCTGCGGATTCGGAACCAGGGAGACCCCGGCAAGCTGCAGACATGGTGAGGCGCGTCCCGGGGCCGGGGCTGGGGATCGCTCTGCAAGTTCCGGGCTCCGCGGGAGGGCAGCGCGGCAGCTCGGGACCGGAGCCCCCCGGGGTCTCCTGTCCGCTGGGGCCCCACCCCCTCCCGGATTTGGGGGGGACTCCGAGCGCGGGGCCGGGTACAGCCCCCCGCTGCCGGCTGCATGCCCCGCGCCGAGCCGGTAGCAGGGGAAGGGACCGATCGGCACTTCCCGGGGTCCCTTGGCACAGGAAAGGCAGCTGCCGCCTGTATTTACCGCCCCCTCCCAGCCCCGTCTCCGCCTAGCTGCCCCTTTGTCAGGGACCCGACACCCCTTGGGGAGCATCTGAGCTGAGCGCCCCTCGCCCCTGGGGCAGCCCCTGAGCGCTGGCTACTGCACCCCAGCCGGGACTGGGCTCCGAGGGGTGTGAGCAGCCTCATCCCGCCACTGCCCTTCGGGGGGGCTGGGTTTGGGTCCCCTTTCAGCCCATGGAAAGGGATCTGGTGAGCGTTCACAGATCCCCCGTGCGCTGGCATGGACGCCGGTGCGGTGGGTGTGATCACTGCTGTGCTGACTGGGACGCATTTCCCTGCATGTTGCACTGGGGTAATGACTGCCCCCCGTGCCAGGCATTGGAGGGTGTATAGGGGCGTGCCAGGATATGGGGACTGTAACAAGCCCCAACCTGCTTCCCTCCTGGGGGTCTGAGTCCCTGTGGGATGGGCGCCTGGGCTCCCCCTGGGTTCTGACCGCTCTGGGCCGTCTCCTCCGCAGGCCCTGTGGCTCAGCGTGAAGCTGCTGAGTGGCGAGACGCACCGCTTGGAGGTCACCAGCACGACGACCGTCTCGGCTTTCAAGGCCCAGATTGCCCAGAAGACGGGGGTGTCCCCGTACCAGCAGAAGTTGGCCTGCCAGAACGGGGCCTACGTGGAGCTGCGCGATGGCTCCCGGCTCTCCGACTACCAGCTCAATCCTGGAGACATCGTCCTGCTGGTGGTAAAGAACGAGGAGCCCGTCACCATCTTCGTGAAGAACGACAAGGGCAGGACCGGCACCTACACCGTCCTCCCCTCCGACGGGGTCACCCAGTTCAAGGGGCGGGTCCAGCAGCAGGAGAACATCCAGGCGGAGCAGTTCTGGCTCAGCTTTGAGGGGAAGCCGCTCGAGGACGGCCACAAGCTGGGAGATTACAACATCGCCCCCCACTGCACCATCTTCCTGCACCTGCGTCTGCGGGGGGGCTGAGCCCCCGGGGCCTGACTTTCCTGCTCCCTTCCTCTTTTCCTAGATAGACCTTAGCGTCCCAAACATCGTACGCCGGCTTTGGACTCTGGCATGTGAAGCTGTGTCCGGCTCCAGCACTGGCTGGGGTGGGGGGTGATGCAGAGGACTAGGAGAGGGTCTCCGGGAGAGTGAGCATCATGTTGACGCTCGGTTGCCCACAGCACTCGCACCCCATTGTGCACGCGCTCACCAGCTCCTCATCCATCCGTGCATCACATTCCAGTGCAGCATGGTCCCGCTGTGCCAGGCCGTGTGGCTGACCTGGGCCCTGCAGAGCGACTCTGTTCCTTCCAGGGGGCACAGTGGGGCCGGGCTCCCTGCCATGGTGGAAACTCTCTCCCGTAGGAGGTTTGCTCAGTTAGCTCCTCCATGTGAATGAGACACCCCCCCCCCGAACGTGTCTGTCATGCCATGTGTGTAGCGAGTTGTTTCCTTGCTATAGGTGTTGGTGTGGTTCCCCGGCAGCGCTAACCCTAGCGGAAGAGCGCGCTGGCCTCTCCCTTTATCACCGATTGAATTCAGGTGTGACGCTTGCATGCCAACGTCACAAGAAGATCCAGCACAACCCCCTGCTCTGCCTCTTTACGGGCTGTGCCGCTGCTTCATGTGATGTCACATTGGGGTGGGGCTAAGGCTGTAATGACCACTGGGGATAGTGGCCTGTGAAGAAACAAAGGAACTAGCCTGATTAGACTCTGGCATTGGCAGTAAGGATTTCGGTCTTTTTTGTCACAAGACAGTATTTGCGTTTTCTGAACTGTGATTGATGGACTCAGTCTGTGATTGTATTGCACACTAGGGCACTTTGCTTTGTAAATGCATGAGAATGATGATCTAATAGGATCAATAAACAGGTTTCCTCAAATCCTGCCCTGCTCCCGAGTCCCTTCTTTTCTCTGCTGACTCTGATCCATGCTGGTAAACCCTTCCAGGTGATCCGCCCCTGTGCACCGAGCCAAGCTCTTACCCTACGCCCCCAAACACTGGCCTCACCCCAAGAGGAGGATACCCCCAGACCAGCCAGCTGTGCTGCCCTTTGGATATGAGAGAAAGGAATTACAGCTGAGGTGTATATAAGGTTGTGACGAAGTGGGATTGTTCTTAATGTTTTCTTTGAATACTGAGTGGGGAGTATTGACCTGGGAAGGCTGCAGGGGAGTTTGGCTGGGACTGTCTGCATTGGGGGATGAGAGACTTTCCTTGAGGGAAGATACCTGAGCACATAACATGAGAACCACTTACTCTGGGTTAATTAATAAACAAAAGTGATTTTGTTAAGTATAAAAGGTAGGATTTAAGTCGTTTTGAGTAATAACAGACAGAACAAAGTAAGTTACCAAGCAAAATGAAACAAAACTCGCAAGTCTAAGCCTAATATATTAAAAAACTGATTACAGATAAAATCTCACCCTCAGCGATGTTCCAATAAGCTTCTTTCATAGGCTGGACTCCTTCCAGTCTGGGCCCAATCCTTTCCCCGGTACAGCCCTTGTTAGTTCCAGCTTAGGTGGTAGCTAGGGGATTTCTCATGACTGGCAGCCCCTTTTGTTCTGTTCCACCCCCTTTTATAGCTTTGGCACAAGGCCGGAATCTTTTGTTTCTCTGGGTCCCCACCCCTCCTTCTAAATGGAAAAGCACCAGGTTTAAGATGGATTCCAGTACCAGGTGCCATGGTCACATGTCCTGTGAGACCCCAGCCTCCATTCTTCCCGGCCTGACTCACAGGAAGGCCTGCAAGTAAACAGAGCCATTTACAACCATTGTCCTGGTCAATGGGAGCCATCAAGATTCCAAGCCACATGGCCCACACTTTGCATAATTACAATAGGGCTTCAGAGTTATACTTCATATTTCTAGTTACAGATCCAAGAATGATACATTCATACAAATAGGATGACCACACTCAGTAGATTATTAGCTTTGCAAGGATGCCATACAAGAGACCTTTTGCATAAAGCATATTCCAGTTATATTATATTCACACCCATAAGCATATTTTCATAAAACATATGGAGTGCAATGTCACAGGTGGGAAATCCCGAGGTGGGGAGAGTTAGCAAAGAGAGTGGGAAATCCCCCGGGAGGAACTGAAAGGGGGTTCCCATGGGAGAGGATAGAGGGGTGGAACTTCCCATGGGGGGAGAGACTGGGGGAATCCCTGTGGGGCTGAGATGCAGGGGGAAGAATCCCAGGTGGGAGCGAAGAGTGGCGGAAAGGGGGATTTTGCCCCTGCCAGAGGACGACTGGACTGGCTGCTCAGTGTCTGGCGCCGTCTCTCCCCTGGGCAGGCAGGTGCACAGAGGCGTGAGCAATTCCCTGAGAAGTGGGAGTGTGAGACCCTCTGTGAGCCCTGCCGGGGCTCCCTTCCCGCCCTATGGCCAGCAGGAGGGCAGCTTATGTTTCCCCTTTAAAGGACTTTGTCAATCGTGAATGAGGTGTCCCCCCGCTGTCACCCCCAGCGCACACCCACAGCCCCATTGATCCCCATGCCGCCTGGCTTCACCAAAGTGCGCCCCCTCCCTGCTCATCCTGGAATGCACCCTCAGAGCTCACCTGTGTCCCAAACCCTGGAAGTCAGAGGATCTGGGCTCAATTCTTGTTTTTGTCCAAGACTTTCTACGTATCCCCTTTGGAATAATGCCACCGCCATGCTCTTCTATAGCCCCTTTCAACCCTGGAGCTCAAAAGGGTCTACAAAGGGCGGTCAGTAGCATTACCTCCATTTTACAGATGGGGAAACTGAGGCACAGGGTGGGGAAGTGACATGCCCAAGTTCACCAGCAAATCAGCGGCAGACTTGGGCAATAGAACCCACATCTCCTGTGTCTCAGCCCAGTACCCTACTCACTAGACAGCACTGTCTCCCTGAAAGGCACTTAAACTCCCCGTGGGTGTAGCTGTCAGATGGGGATGCTGCTGCTTTCCCCAGGGACGTATGTGTGTCGTGTTCCCCTCTGTGCCCGGACCAGAGCCTGGCTCTGAGACTTTCAGCTCATAAGGTCACTGGTTCAACCGTGGCTGTTGGCGAAGATAGCCTTTACGCTGCCCTGCCTCCCAGCGGGGTGGTGAAGCTAAGAGGCTCAGCGACCATGGTGGTGATGCCCCCACTAGTAGATGAGGATGGCTTTTGATACTGTCTCCCGTGACCTTCTCATAAGCAAAATAGGGAACTAGAGCCTAGACGAACTGACTATAAGGTTGGTGCACAACTGGTTGGAAAACCGTACTCGGAGAATAGTTATCAATGGTTCACAATGCAGCTGGAAGGGCCGATTGAGTGGGGCCATCTTGAGCCTGGCTCTATTCAATAGCTTCATCAGTGATTTGGACAATGGCGTAGAGAAGTACAAGGATGAAGTTTGAGGGGCTGCCAAGCCGGGAGGGGTTGCAAGCACTTTGGAGGACAGGATTAGAATCCAAAATGATCTGGACAAACTGGAGAAATGGTCTGAAATAAATAGGATGAAATTCAATACGGACAAATGCAAAGTCCTCCACTTAGGAAGGAACAATCAAGTGTACAAATACAAAATGGGAACTGACGGCCTAGGAAGGAGTCCTGCAGAAAAGGATCGGGGGGTCGTAGGGGTCACAAGCTAAATATGAGTCAACAATGTAATGTTGCAAAACAAGTGAACATCATTCTGGAATATATTAGCAGGAGTGTTGTAAGCAAGACACAAGTAATTCTACTATGCTACTCAGCACAGATAAGGCCTCAACTGGCGTATGGTGTCGAGTTCTGGGCACTGCACTTCGGGAGAAAATCCAAAGAAGAGCAACAAAAATGATGAAAGGGCTAGGAAACATGACCTACACTGAGAGATTGCAAAAACTGTAATTGTTTAGTCTGGAGAAGAGAAGACTGAGGGAGGACATGAGAACAGTCTTCAAATACATAAAAGGTTGTTATCAAGAGGAGGGTGATCAATTGTTCTCATCCACTGAGGGTAGGACAAGAAGCAATGGGCTTAAATTGCAGCAAGAACAGTTGAGTTGGACCTTAGGAAAATCTGCCTAACTGTCAGGGTGGTTAAGCACTGTCAGGGATGGTCTAGATAATTCTTAGTCCTGCCTCAGTGCAGGGGACTGGGCTAGACGACCTTGCGAGGTCCCTTCCAGCCCTACATTGCTATGACTGGCAGGAGTGTGCGTGAGGTCACAGCCTGATGACATGTTCCCAGCTAGTCACGTGGTCAGAAAAGAGAGAAACAAACAAAACCGCTGCGGTTGCTAATCAGATCCGCCAATGGCGCTTTCAGGGCTATGGGGCCGACGACAGGAAAGTCCTGGGGCTCCATGTCTAGACCAGGCAGACGCACTTAGCCAGACCCCAGTCTGTTCCATTCGTCATACATCGTCCACACCCAGCCAAACAGGGCCGGCTCCAGGCACCGGCGGAGGAAGCACGTGCCTGGGGCGGCACATGCTAAGGGGCGGCATTCCGGCCATTCTTGGGGCGACACCGTCCAAGCGGCTTTTGTTTTTTGCTTGGGGCGGCAAAAATGGTAGAGCCGGCCCTGCAGCCAAATCACACCCGGCCACCCTTGCTGTCCCTCAGCACCTCTCCCTAACCCTCCCCCAGCCAGACCTGAGATCTCCTTTCCCAGCTTGTTCCCAAGCAGGCGCTCAAAGAGAGAGGGCAGGAGGCCAGTTACTCCTGTCCCGCATGCCCCAGACCCCCACTGAGAAGGCAGAATTCTTTCCCTGCCTCCATGCCCAGATTAAAGCTTCCGGTTTCTCCCTTGGTGGCTTCCACTTAGGAATCAACATGGGGGAAATGCCCATTAATGCCTAATATCGTCTTGTCAAGAACTCCCTGCTGCACCAGATCTAGCCACGCTTCAGCTCTGCAAAGGCCGGTGTTGAGAGCCAGGGCTGAAGTGAGCTCTCTGGGGCCCAGGCGGTTCTGAGGCAGGGCCCTTCGACACATGAATTGTAACGCGACTGGCGAGGATTTACTTGTCCGTGCTCGGCAGGGTCCTTCAGTTCCCAAGCATCAGTGCTGTGATTCCGGGGAGGCTGCCGGGTATTCTTTGGCCACTGAGGTCCTTCTTTAAGTGAAAACTGAACTAAACCCTAAATCCAGGGGTCAGGGTGCCAGCATGGGACTCCAAAGACCTGGTTTCAATTCCCAGCTCTGCTACAGACTCACTCTGTGACCTTGGGTGTGTCTCCCTGTCCCAGACCCTTGGGGGATTTAGGCTCCGAACTTCCAATGAAATCAAAGGATGTTGGTGCCTAAATACCTTTGTGAATTTGTGCCTTTGTGCCTCAGCTTCCATCTGTACCAGGGAGCTAACAGCCCTACCCTGCTGCACAGGGGGCAGGTGAAGATAACTACAGTAAATACTGTGGTGCTGGTAGGGTTGCCAACTGTCTAATCACACAAATCCTGCCCAGCCCCTGTCCCACCCCTTCCCTGAGGCCCCACCCCTTCTCCGAGCCCCTGCCTCACTCCATCCCCCCTCCCTGCGTCGCTCGCTCTCCCCCACCCTCACTCACTTTCACCGAGCTGGGGCTGGGGGTTGGGGTACGGGAAGGGATGTGGGCTCTGGACTGGGGCTGAGGGGTTCAGAGTGTGGGAAGGGGCTCTGGACTAAGCCTGGGGCAGGGGTTTGGGGTACAGGAGAGGGTGTGGGGTGCAAGCTCTGGGAAGGAGTTTGGGTGCTGGAGGGGGCTCAGGGCTGGGGCAGGAGATTGGGGTGCGGGAGGGGGTGTGGGGTGCAAGCTCTGGGAAGGAGTTTGGGTGCTGGAGGGGGCTCAGGGCTGGGGCAGGGGATTGGGGTGCAGGAGGGGGTGTGGGGTGCAAGCTCTGGGAGGGAGTTTGGGTGCTGGA